TATGTTTCCACAGTAACTTTATTAACAAGGACTATTTGGTATAAGCTGACAACTTAAACTCCATCTTGTAACAAGCTTTGTAACTTCTGTTTTGTAAAACCTTGATTTGTTTTGTGAACCCCCCCACCCATGCCTTCCCTGAAGAATGCGACTGTTTAAAGAAAGTGTTTCTCAGGATTCCGAGAGAAGATAAGAAATGTTCCTCAACAGTCTGCAAAATGAGTTAAACTGTCCTTCCTACGGGAACAAACAGATAACTTGAAAATGGGTGAAACTGTCATCTGATGTCCTTCTGACTACCAGAACATAAACAATGCCTAAGCCAAATACGGACATATTCCTGTAGAGTTTGCAAAATGTGGCCTCATCTATGGGAACAAAGAGTTAACCCTTGGTCATGACTAACTCAAAATAAGCTTTGTAAAATCCCCCCTTCTCCCCCTACTCTTGTGGTTTTTCCCTTTAAAAACTGTGTCTCACCTAGACTAAGCGCGCACCTACTTGGAGACGAGAGTACGTGCCGCCGCTGAGCTCAGCTAAATAAAGTGCTTTTAAGTTGAGTCCGGTTTTTGATTTTTGGGTTACAACAATTTGATTTTTTTTTTTTCCCCCGGAACTGGGGATTGAACTCAGGCCCTTGCACTTGCCAGGGAAGTGCTTATTCTACTGAGCCATCTCCCCAGCCCCAGAAAATAGTTTTACATGGACACATTGTAAATGAAGGTTATTTTATAGATTTGGGAAGGCTTATAAACTGCTAACTCAATACACATTTTTTTTTTTGATTCTTCAGCTAACACAGAGGAGATGATTTATTGTACGTGCTTTACACTCAGCCAAAAGTGAGAACAGAAGTAGTTCAGAATGCCACAGGTCTAGGGCAAAAAACCCAGGAGACTGCTTAGTTTGAACCAGGTGAATCTCTCTTTGAGGTGGTGTTGGCGATCAGATGGCAGTGAAGTTCTAATACATTGAGACATTCTAGACAGCATGCCGTCCAAAACTTGCACCAGCGTGTCAGCCTCCAGC